TTTTATTGTTCTGAAATGTGATTAAAATGTATACTAGTGTGGTTTTCTTCAAATCTATCCTACTTGGGATTAGTTGTGATCGTTGCTGGATAAGTTTATACTTTTCATCAAATTTGGAAAATTTTCAGACACTATTTCTTCAAAAATGTTTTCCACCTTCTCCATTTCTGGGACTCCAATTGCGTGTCCGTGAGAGTGGCTGACATGGCCCCCACAGGCCACCGAAGCTTTTGAAATGGGTCAGGCTCTCTGGTCCTGTGTTCCGGTTCCGACCGTGTGATTGCTACGCGTTCAGGTGCACCGATCATTCCTTCGGCGCTTCCGTCTCTGCTGAGACCCTCCGGTGAAAATGCTCATCACGAGAGAACACACGGTAACTGCTCGGTGGCGAATGTTGGCTGGGCTTCCTGTGGCGGTCCCCTCACTGCAGGTACACAGAGCAAGTCACGCTGTCGCACACCTGAAACTCATCACCTCCGCCCATTATGCCTCGCGTTGTAAAAACCACCGGGTCTCTTGGAAAGCGTTCCCCGGCTGAGGGCAGAAGTAGTTTCTCCTCGACTTCTTTGAGCAACTGCAAGACCTTCAACAGATTTCTGGCAGAAGGAAATGACGGAATTTCCTTATTTCTGAAATTCATGAAACAATGTCTGTGATCCACGGAGCGTCACTCGGGGAATGATGTACGATTCACCAGGCTTTGCCTTGTGTGTCGTTTGCTCTGGGAACTGAGGTTAAAGGTGGGAACAGGATCCCAGGCAGGGAGATACTGAGCGAGTGCTTGGTAAACAGGATCTAGGCAGCTATTTTATTTTTATTATCAGTTATTAAAGCAAGATACAATTTAGTTTTTACATGTTTGATTTCCTAAAGCATTGCGATGTTAAGAAAGGATTTTATGTATTAAAAAATTGCCTCCTTCATGGGAAATTGTGCTCATCTTCAGGTAGTCTGTCTCCTAAAACGATCCCAATGTAGATATCAACTACGTACATTTCACAACAAGACCGTAAATATACACAAGTTAATTAAAAAGAGTAAAATAAACCCTATTACAGCTCTAGAGCTCTGTGCGTTATGAGGTGCATATTTGTGGGGGTTTTTATATTAAAAACTCTCTCATGTTTCGTAAGCCGCATGATAAGCAGAAGGAGAAAACAGCAGCCACCAATTGTGAAAAAGAAAGACGATAACAGCTTGTCCCGGTGGTTTTGGTGACGCAGGGGGACATTTTCTCTCTTCCCAGCAGCTAGACGAGCATTTTGCAAAATAACCTTCTCAGAGCGGCAGTGCATGCGGAGGAAACAGAGGTGACTGGAGGTCGTGGATGGTGCAGGGGCAGCCACTGTGCTGTTGCTAATCCTCACCTGAGGATATTTTCCACTGATTTGTTGTTGTTGTTGCTTTTAGAGAGAGTGGAAGGGAGGGAGGGAGGAGAGAGAAATATGGATGTGAGAGAGACAATCGATCGGTTGCCTCCCGCGCACCCCCCAACCCAGGCCAGGGATTGAACCTGCAACCCAGGTATGTGCCCTTGACGGAGAATCAAACCCGTGACCTTTCCATGCTCAGGCCGATGCTCTGACCCCTGAGCCACACTGGCCACAGATGGCCATTTTTTATTTCATATGCAAATCGTGTGTTTATTTTCATGTACTATAAAAATACTATGTACATCATTTGAGGTTATTGTTACAACTAAGCTAATGTAGACTGTGTCAATTCATTTAGAAAAAATTGTGAAGGAGACAGAGATGGTAATCCCATATGTAAACATTCAACAAGGGCTCTGAAGGGCTGAATCGTGGGGAGTCCTGAGCCAGAGTCGCCTCCCAGGTGTTGGTGTCACCTTCATCCCAGGTTTTGGTCTTGCTGTCCCCCGTCTGTGACGGCATCGTGACCCAGGTAGTGTTCTCTCTGCAGTGGCCTCTTCGGCACAGGCTCGGATGTCACTTCCCACGCCCAGCCTTGGTCTGCCCGTCCCTCCTGCAGTCGCTGTCCTGGAGGAGGGCAAGACGGTCCCCAGTGCCTGGCCCTGGAGTAGTCCCAAACCTGGGTGGAAGCTTCTTCACTTGAAGCATGATTGCAGATTCTGCCTCCCCAAATTCACAGTTAAAATCATTTGCAATAACAAGACTTCCTCCCCTCCAACTCTAGGTCTGTGATGGCGTCACAGTGTTAGTTTTGGGCAAGGATGAAAGTCTGTGAACACGGGAACAGAACCATGAGAAGCACAACAGACGGAAAGACAGGGTGACCTTGCTTGAGGCCCTGCACCAGGTTACACACGGGGCTTCCGTTACCCCAAACACGTGAGCTGAGCCAACTTGTCCTAGGTGTTGGGTCAAAGCTCTACATTCTTTCCTCCGGGATGCGTTCAGGGGAAATAAGCGATAAAAAGGCATCCAGCCAAAAACTGAAGTGAGGAGAAGATAAGGCACAGTTGGCCTAGATAAGGTAAGAAAGATGTTGGAGGCGTCGCTCACAATGCATCGAAGCAGACCAATGTTTGGACAGAAGCGCCCACGTAAGCACAAGCAGGAAATGCCCAAGGGACTCGGCAAACATCGGCAGAAGGAAGACAGGGACCCTCTTGAGGCTGGGAAGCCACCCAGTTCGGCGAACGGAAGCAGTTTCCTCTGAATGTATTATGCTGTGTAAGAACTTACAGTGAGAAGAATTCAATAAAACAAGGGAATAATAATGAGGATCAAATAACAGAGATGAGATGGAAAGGATACCAGAGTGAAGGAAGCGAATAGGAACCCAAACCACATAATTTCAGACTTACTGTGAGAGGTAAAGAAAGACTTGACCAGAAGACAGATGATCACAGTGCAGGGCAGGAGCTGAGTGCCAGGGAGAAGGATGGACGGCCTAGAGCATGGGAGCAAGAGTGGTGACCACGGAGCTGAAGGCAACCCAGCACAGAGACAACCCAGCACAGAGACAACCCAGCACAGAGACAACCCAGCACAGAGACGACAACCCAGCACAGAGACGACAACCCAGCACAGAGACAACCCAGCACAGAGACAACCCAGCACAGAGACAACCCAGCACAGAGACAACCCAGCACAGAGACGACCCAGCACAGAGACGACAACCCAGCACAGAGACAACCCAGCACAGAGACAACCCAGCACAGAGACAACCCAGCACAGAGACAACCTGTGTGCCTGAGGGCAAGATTCTGACAAGTGGAGCTCAGTACTCAGAAAGGTGATGCAGAAAAAATGTCTCTGCAATGAACTGAATGTGAAGATTGAAAGACAACCTGTGAATGAGGGAAAAAATGATACAGAACAGTCTATCTAAACTGTATCCAGGTTAAGTGACTACATTCCACAAATAAAGATTTAAAAAGAGACTTCACCGAAGAAAGTATATGGATGACAAAAAGCACATAAAAAATGTTTGGCATCATTAATATAGTGACATGCAGATGGAAACTATAGCGAGATACTATGCAGCACTCAAAAGGCCAAATTTTAAGGGACTGATAATAGCAAGTGTTGGAGAAGACACTGAGCAGCTGGAAGTACCATCCATTGCCACTGGGGATGCACCTTGGTCCAACCACTTTGGAAAACCTTTTGTCAGTTTCTTCTAAAATGAAATACATTTACCGTATGTCGCAGAAGTTTCTCTTCTGCAGTCGTTACCCAGGAGAAAAGAAAGCATAAATCCACACAGAGACTTGTACTCAGATGTTCATAACAACTTCATTCATAATAGTCAATAACTTGAATCCACTCAACTGCCCATCGACTGCTGAAGAGATAAACAAATTCTGCTGTTTGCAGACGAATCGCAAAATAAGCCAGACACAGAAGAGATGCCATTGCTTTGAAATTTGAGAAAAGGCAAAAACTGTAGCGACAGAAAAGCAGATCATAGAATTGTAGCGTAATGCGATATTACCTGGAAAACATCACAATTTAAACCCTTAGTAGCCAGAATTTTCCAGCACGATGAAAAAGATAACTTTCCTAAACATTGCTAGTGGGATTATGTATTGGAGGCCAATTTGGTATCAAAAATCCAAAATTGTCTGCCTGAACCAGCGATTCTTCTCGGGGAATTTACACTAAGGCTATAATTAACAATCTTCCCACGAGCAAGTTAATGTGAGCAAAAACTTTAATAATTATGAAAATGTCCAAAATAGAATATTGTTCAATGAAGGATAGTGAATCCATAAAATTGAATAGATGTTGCAAACATTTCTAAAAGTGGCTCATTAATTGACTCCAAAAAAAAAAAGCCCCAATAAAATCTAAAGAGTAAATATTGTGAAGACCTCACATTTGGATCAAAATCATTGAAAAAGTAGAAATGAGTAATAAAAAATAGAAACAATGCTATCACACCATTCTTTGATAAACTTACTCCTCAGCAAGGAAGAAATTAAAACATTGCAGTTTCAAGATGTTAAAAGACAATTTGCAGAAGACCGCGTCACGGTACCGTCAGCAAAGGCCCTTAGGGTTTCCTTTTGGAACAGTTGCTGGGGTCAAGTTATTAACCAGCAAAGCAATTCGTGAATGAGTTGAGACTCCATGTTGGTGGCCGCTAGAATCAGCAACATTTTGGGGGGGACAGATCCCCCACACCCTCCTTAGTTAGGAGTTCTTGTCCTGTCCTGACATGGTAGCTGAGCTTGCTCCGGTGGCCTTTGACAAGGAGTTATTGATAACTGTGCAGCTGAGGAAGCCTTGGAAGATCGTGCTTACCCCTTGTTCCTGTTGGCTGGCTGTGACCATAGCAACCTCTTACTCCAGACCAAAGTTCAGCTACTGCAGATCTTTATGACCGTGCTCAGAGTCCAATGCTCATTGTATAACCCTCCCTATGAAGAGTGAGCTCTTATATTTTACAACAAAGTATTAGACTCCATTTCTAAATTCGGGACTCCAAATGATAAGGTCCAAAAATATTATAAAAAGATCCTTTTTTTTTTTTTCTTTTCTCCCTAGAACCCTTGTTTAGCTGGGAAAATGCCTACGACAAAGAAAACATTGATGTTCTTATCGAGTTTTTTCACAAGCTTCGGGGCGTTTGTGGTAATTTGCGCTGTTCTGGGGACCCGGGAGTGGGTCAGCAGCACCATTTCCATCAGTGATAAATCTTCGAACAGCAGCATTGTCATCACGTACGGACTCTTCCGTGGGCAGAGCACGCAAGAGCTGAGTCACGGACTTGCGGAATCAGACAAAGATTTTGAAGGTAAATGGGAAACAGCTTTGAATGGGGCTGGTGAGACTGAATTAACCGGGTAAGACTCTTGTCATCCAGTATTTGAATAGCTGCTCATACTTAACATTTCATGCTTTTCTATTAATTCAGCAAATATTTAGCGTGTACCTGATCCACAGGTAAGCACCAGAGGCCACTGATGGAACGTAAAAGCCTGTACTGAGTCCCTGGTCTTCACAGGGTTCACTCCGCTGGGAAGGGAAGATGTACGGCCGGAGAACCACCGAGTTCTGACCATTCTAACCCTTAACATTTCTGTTCTCTCTTCTTTTAGAATTTTATTTTATTTATTTATTTATTTATTTATTTGTTTATTTATTTATTTATTAATCCTCACCTGAGGATATGTTTTCCATTGATATTTAGAGAGAGTAGAAAGGAGGGAGGGAGGGAGAGAGGGAGAGAACCATCCACGTGAGAAAGACATACATTGGTCACCTCCAACACGCGCCAGGACAGGGATCAGGGATCGAACCCACACCCCTTCAGTGCACCGGCCGATGCTCCAACCACTGAGCTACACTGGCCAGGACACCCCTTATCATCTCTTGAATCTTCCCGCCTCCTGCCATCCTCAAAGCGGCTCCCCGAGTTCAGCCACCAGCTCTTTCTTGGTCTCCTCTAACAATGTCTCCTCGTCCCCTGCCTTGCTGGCTTCAGATCCGTCTTCCACAGTGTGCTTTGCTCATCTGATCACTTCCTTCCCTAACGCCCTGGAGTGACTCACTGCTGTCGCAGGATAAGTCTAGATGGTTCGAGTGGCTGGCTCTGGCCTGTCTCTGCTGTAATCGTTGATGTTGTTCACGCCCGCAGGGTCGGAATCACTGTCGCAGAGACCATGTTTAAGTGAAGCTGCCGAGTTTATCGGCAAACACACGATTAAGGAAAACTGCGTAGCGGCAATGTAGTATCCAGTAGGGACTGTGGATTTTCAGCTGGACAACCACCTCTGTCCAGGCCTCCTTTAGGGGCTGTCCAAGGGAAAGATAACGAGGAAGATGGGGTCCGATGCTTGTTCCTGTCTCTCAAGTGCGTTTCACTTACCAGTCTGGTTTCCCCTCCCTCGTTTTTGGACGTGATATTACATTTACAGTAATTTTATTAATTCTACATCTTACAGGAACTCCTACTTTTGTTTTTCTGATTTCTCACGTAATAATGCCTTACTCTCAATGAGTGGAAAATAAAAAGTCATTGAGAATCATACATTAGCTCCTTCTTTGACTTTTGAATATATACCATTCTGTTTCCTAATTATGAAAGCCACGTTGGTAAATATTTAGCACTTTAAATGAATTTCGCTTTGCACGGTGTTGCGTGTGGGTTACGGCGCAGGTGTCGTCGGGTGTTTTGCTGTCATTTCCTCCTGACTCATAAATGTGCATAGTTTCCTACCTGATACAATGTGGCATTCAGTCCCTTCCAGGTGCACAATGGAAGGACTTTGAGCCTTGGGCACTTGATCTAGTTTCCGGCTCTAGCTTATGACTGTATTAATAAAATGATGTCCTTAAATCCAGAACAACACGGTGACAGTGCCAAGTTACAAATTTGTCTTTTAGAGGTTAGCGAGAGCCCCACCGCCCTGCAGTTTCAGCAGGTTACACGCCTCCGCCGGGCCAGCCTCGGCTTCCCGGGAAACGAGGTGTCTTCGCGGCGCAGCCTCTAGAAACTGAGACCTTCAAAGGTTCGGCCACACTTTCGGTCATGTGAACAGCATGTCAAAACCAGAGAGATGGACCAGCTTCTGCATCTCCAGACTCATTTAGACGTTTAAAAATAAGAGCTAACACTCTGTGAAGTTTCTGATTTTCATAGCGTCTGTTTGGAAGCAGTGGATCCAATCTGGGACAAGCGGCTTACTGGGAGCCCTGCCCATCTGCACGCTGGGAGGGGGCTCGACGCCGGGCTCCAGCCCCTGCGTGGGACCAGAGCTCTGTGGTGCCGAGCAGCGGGACAGCGTGGTCAAGGACCACCCTGGAGGAGGCAGGACCAAGCAGACACCCGCTGCTGCAAGGAGGCGGGGCACTCGAACCGGTTTTGCCTGGCTCCCTCCTTTTATTCTTTGCTCCCCACACTGCAGCCTCCTGGAGTCGCTGTCAGTCTCCAGGAGCTGCAGGAGAGAAGCCACCCAGTCAGCAAAGGTGGCGCACAGCTACTCAGCTGATATCGGGCCCCAGGGGCATCCCTGATGGGCATTTTAGTGACCATTAAACATGGACCCAGTTCCCTGGAGAAGATGGGAAAAGACATGTGACTAGCATATGTCTCGTGGTGTCTGGCTGCTGCCGCCCCGGGGTTGCTCCCTGGACTGCGGACCTTCAGCGTCACAGAGAGACATGACCGCTCTCCCGCTGCTGTCTCGTGACCACACGGGGCTTAGTTCAAGTCAGAAACCAGTCATGGGCCGCACAGTAAACATCTGCATAAATGCCGCTCTCCGGCTCTGCAGGGACCGATTGACTTTTCCGGTTGAGAAGTTAACCGTGTCGGCGTGGCAGGAGGAGGTCACACTGACAGTCTCCAAAGAGTGATGCATATTGCAAAGCTCAGTTCTATTTCTGCACGGGATATACCACCCTGTGCCAATGTGGGCTGTACCACCCTGTGCCACCGTGGGCTGTGGATTTCGACATGGAAAAGCAGAGTGAAGTGACCATGGCTGATTTCAAAGCATCAGATAAATTCAGGCAACAATTGGTAACTGACCGGGAAAATAACGGGTCAGGCTGACCGGGAGATCTACTAGCCTCATCTACAGGCATCCGGTTACCCTACACCCAATGGAAAGCGACAGGCCCTCGGTGTCCACCAGCAAGCATGCTGCCTTGGCTACTCCGAAAGTTCTGGATATTTAGTTTCAGTTCAGAAACACCTCCCTGAGCAGCTGCTCTGTGAATGAGGAGCTTGCACACTGAGAAGAAGCATGCACACCCCTGGCCTTAGTGGACTCGCCATCTATTCTTTCTAGAGAAAGACGTCACATCAGTGTCGGTGACCATGAAGCGAGGAGTCCACCCCAACCTGGCTCCCCCCGCCCACCAGTCTCTTCTCCACCTGCCTGTTTGTCCTCAGGGAGCTCAGTTGTGTACTATCATCCCAAGCCAAAAACAATTCAGAAAGAGAATCTGCCACAAAAGTCATTTAACTGCCAGCAGGACAGTGGGGTTTTCCTGCAGAATTTACAAGAAGCCCCATCTCCTACATCTGCCCTGTTTCCAGGGAGGAGCACCGGAATGGCCACACAGGGGGTGGAGCTTGTCGGGACAGAGAAGTGACCACTGTGCTCTTCTCCCCAAGAGAACCCTGGTAAATTCCCAAGAGGTTGGGACACCCCACGCTCTGGGATCTGTGGTCTTACCGAGCTCCTCCAAGGCTACGCTGTGGTCCACGGATTGAGAAGCCCACCAGGTCCTGCTCCTTGGGGACCGGGTGCTGGAGGAGGGGTAGAGGCAGTTCCCACCCACCCACACCACCACCGCCTCTCGCTCAGTTCCCGAGGGCAGAGGTGGAAGGCCCGGTGGCCGGTGGTTCCCGAGGGTGAAATCCCCGTGCACTGGGAGCCCAGATGTCCAGACAACCCCATTTCTGTACACTGCCCCCCACCCAGCTGTGCAGTCCTGGCCTCTCTCCCGGGGCTGCCAAAATCCAGGCAATGAGTTCCCACTGTGAGGTGGTTTTACTGATCCGAAGCTTGACCCCCAAAAGGAAGAGAAGGAACGGCACGTATTTGCTGATTCCGTTGGCGGACTGTTCTCTCATCCTTGCTAAGTTCCTCTGAGCTCCCAGCTCTCGTCTGGGCTCTGAGGCCGGACGGGAGGGACACACAGCTGTCACATCTTCATGGCAGTGAATCAGAGTCTACAATATAAAGTTCAAGGGTGGCAGTTAAAATGAAGATGAATTGTCACACGGACACATAGGGCGGTATGAGTCACCAGGCTCCAAGTTGACTCCCTTGGGAAAACTCGTGTCTATGGGTCTTACCAACAGTCAGAAGCAGAGCTCACCCCAATGGTCACTTTCTCATTTAATCGGAAAAAGTGGACTAGTCGCCTCTCCGGAATGAACACCCACCTAGAGCTTACAATAGTGTACAAAGCAGAGCGAGTCTCCGGGGAGCCTGGGGTGCAGGACATTTTCCATCCTGAAGTTCATGTTTTCTAGTTCAGTATCCACATATGTCTTCTTGGCGAAGGACAGCTCCTTCGGTCCCCAAGCAAATGCCTGGTGCCCCAGGAAAAACTGGGCCACTGCGGACCCGGAAGCTGCCGAGACACCTGCAGCCTCCCCCCTCTGTCCTGCTGCTTTCGTTCCAACCGGCTGGTGTCACCTTCCACTCGATTCCAAACAGTTGTGTGCTGACTTAGAACACTGGGATCCCCCAGACACTGCAGGTCCTCGTGAGCCAGTCCGAGAGGCAGGCGCCCCTCGGGCCCGACCCATCCCCACCTGGGCAATAGGTGGTGACAGGCAGGACTGTGTTTTTGCTGAACCAATGATACCTAACAGGGAGGGCTGTGCAGAGGATGTCACTGTCGTGGGTCATTGACGGAAACAGAATTGGCGCAGGCCTGCCAGCTGCCTGTGGCCCGGACCCAGGGGAGTTGAACTGGGCTCCCAGGCAGCTGTCACTGGAGAAGCAAAGGCTCCGGCCCCAAGGTGTGGAGTCACCCTCCCAAGGTGAGAGCTGAGGGTTCCCCTTGGTCCTCTCTCGTCTCCCCTGGGGTTTTAAGGGCTGTGCGGCTGAGTTCACCAGAAGCCATAGCCATGTGTCCTTTCTTTCCTGCCTCTGTCTGTCTGTCTGTCTGTCTGTCTGTCTCTCTCTCTCTCTCTCTCTCTCTCTCTCTCTCTCTGCCTCGCCCTCCTCACTTCCCAGGGCCCTGTGTGCCCTCTGGCTGCTGTTCCCAGCCCCTCCCCGCCCTCCCTGCTCTATCTAGGGACACTAGCTCTTGACCATCAGGATGACATCTTCCTACAGGAGAGTCCTTACCATCGAAGGGGGAGGTGTGGTTAGAAACAGGAGGACCACAGAGCAGGATCTGTGGCCAAGGGCTGGGACACCCGGGCTTCGTCAGACAGAAATGTGCGGCCATGTCTGGAGCTCCTCTGCATCTGAGAAATACGCAAATTTTATAAAACGTCCTTAGAACGCCGAGGAATTTCGCTCAGAAGGAAATCTGATGGTGCACACAAGGGCCGCCTTCCTCATTTGAGCCGCGTGGGTTTGGGTCCTGTCTTTCTCCGGGGAAGTCGGGTTGGGGAGGGCGGCTGTCCCCTCAGTTGGCACAGAAGTCACTTCCATCTCATCAGGGCCAGCCTTCGGCTCCCCCTGCCTGGTGACCTCTGTTAGCTCCTCCACTTCTGACCTTCTCTGGAAGGGCCACCCCTGGCCCTCTGGGCCACCCCAGGAATCTCGGGTTATCAGATCCTCGCTGGCACGGGTTTTCGGGGTGACCCGCCCTGCACATGCCTCCAGGTGGAAGCAGTCAGTACTCCGATGAATCTGTGGGAACGCCCCGGGCCAGAGCCTGAGGCCGGAGCTACTAAGGAAGGTTGGCCGCCTGCAGCAGCGCATGAAGGGGGGCACACGCTTTCGGGGGCTCTGGAGCTGGGATGGGTCCCACAGTCCGAAGCACTGCGGCTCCACTCTCCAGCCCGTGGTTCTCCCCCTTCCTGATGCCGCGACCCTGTAACGCAGGTCCTCATGCTGTGTGTGGGCGAGTCTGCACGTGGGCGGACCCGCCTGGGACGGTGTCCCGGTTCCTGCGACCACTGAAGCACGTGTTTTCCCATGGTCTTAGGCGACCCCTGTGAAAGGGTCGTTCAACCCCCAAAGGGTGGCGTCCCACATGCTGAGAACCAAGAACCGCTGCTCTAGCCTGAGGTCCAAGGACCAGCCTGGAGGGAAATGCAAGGGAGGCCCAGGTCCTGCTCCTTCCTGTCCGGCAGGCCCGAGAGGTGCCACCGGCCGTCCCTGACCCAAGCACCTACCCGGACAGAAGGGGAGGAAGGCTGGACTGTGCAGGGTGGCCTCCAGCCCAGACCTGGTATTTCTATTTTGCTCTCCATACTTACCCAACTTTCTTTCAGTTCTAGGGAAGTTGGACGACTCTACCCCTAAGACTCTGCATTTGGTGGTTATCCTGTTCCTGGTCCTCAGCTTGTCCACTTCGCTGCTGAGTTCCGGGTTCACCCTCTACAACAGCATCAGCAACCCCTATCAGACGTTCCTGGGGCCCGTGGGGGTGTACACCTGGAACGGGCTCAGCGGTGAGTGCTGCCCCGGGACCACACTCTGCTCCGGAGCACGTCCTCTGCCCGTGTCTGCTCCCCCTCACGCACCTCACAGTGGGGCCATGCAAACAGGGGGGCCTGCTGGGGCTGGGCTGGGGCTGGGCTGGGGCTGGGGCTGGGGCTGGGGCTGGGGGCTGGGGCTGGGGGCTGGGGCTGGGGCTGGGGGCTGGGGCTGGGGCTGGGGCTGGGGGCTGGGGCTGAGGCTGGGGCTTGGGGCTGGGGCTGGGGCTGGGGCTGAGGCTGGGGCTGGGGCTGGGGCTGGGGCTGGGGGCTGGGGCTGAGGCTGGGGCTGGGGGCTGAGGGTGGGGCTGGGGCTGGGGCTGGGGCTGGGGCTGGGGCTGGGGCTGGGGCTGGGGGCTGAGGCTGGGGCTGGGGCTGGGGGCTGGGGCTGGGGGCTGGGGCTGGGGCTGGGGCTGGGGCTGGGGCTGGGGCTGGGCTGGGGCTGGGGGCTGGGGGCTGAGGGGATGGGGCTGGGCTGGTGGCTGGGGCTGAGGAGGGGCTGGGCTGGGGCTGGGGCTGGGGGCTGGGGCTGAGGGCTGGGGCTGGGCTGGGGCTGGGGCTGGGGCTGGGGCTGGGGCTGGGGCTGGGGCTGGGGGCTGGGGCTGGGGCTGAGGCTGGGGCTGAGGCTGGGGCTGGGGCTGGGGCTGGGGCTGAGGCTGGGGCTGGGGCTGGGGCTGGGGGCTGGGGGCTGAGGCTGGGGGCTCGGGGCTGGGGGTAGTCTTTGCATATTTTCAGCATTTATTAAGCATCTCTGGAAATAAGAGTCTGTATTAAATGCATTGGTGGGAGGCCAGGAGAGGGGTGAGGAGGGTGTGTTTGGTGTCAAGATACATGATACGCACCAGGCTTTGCTCTTGCATATCTAACGTGTGGGGTTAAACAAGTCACACCCACATCATTCAACATTTACTGGGCTCCTACTGTGTGTTTAACTCCAAATCAGGCTCCGTGTGATGTGCAGAAGGACACACACACACACAGATACATGCACACACACATACGCATGCATACTCATTCACACACATGCACACATACATGCACACTCATTCACACACACGTGCACACACACATACTTATATACTTCTCATCTTCATATAACAACAGTTCACTTGGGCTAAAATGTAACACGTCTGCATGAATGTGCTACAGAGAACCACAAAGGAGGTCATTTAGGAGAAGCTGGTGCCAACGCCCTTCTTGTAGGCGACTTGCGAGCCCAGGGTGCTGCTCTGTGGTTGTGGGTTATTGTATGTTTGTTATGCAAGATGTTGGGGTGGGGGCTGTTGCCCAGCTGGGAAGTGGATCCCTGAGGCACAGTAGGTTTGCCTCTCACTGTGGCTTCGCAGGGCTCTGTGGCCACCGCCTGTGCCCGGAGACACGGTCGGGGGGGCCTCTGCCCCTGGTAGGCAGTCCAGCTTCTGCTCTCCCTCCCTCCACCACGGAAGCTGGGTCCTGAGAAGGGACCGGAAGAGGCCGGTCTGCTAACATGTCAGTTCCAGGTGGTACATTTCCACACCGGCCAGAGCCTTCCGGCACAGGAGGGGACTGCAGCAGGAAGGTGTCAGGAAGCCTCAGAGAAGGTGCGCTGGCAGCCCCCCATCCTCCGTGCAGGGGGCTGGCAGAGGGCTCACTCCCGTGCCGCGGCTGGGACAGCGCCCTGTGTGCTGGAGGCCGTGCTCCGGGTGGAGGGGCTCTGACCCAGCACTGGCTGATTCGAGTCCTGTAAATACCTCCACTGTGGCTTTCCAGGCTAATAGTTGAGGGCATCTGTGATCGGCCCTACCACAGCCTGGACACGAGAGTGAGCCACGCAACTCATGGGTCAAACAGGGACGTTTTCAAAAGATAAGCATTAACCTGGGACCCCGGGTGGAGCTGGGACCCCGGGTGGAGCTGGGACCGTCGCCGACAAAGCAGCATGGGTGGCCACATGGCGTACTCACACCCCGGCGGGCCCAGCCCATTCACACATGACCAGCCCACCCCTTTCTTTCTGTGCTTTTAGTGCCTGGTGGAAAAACAAACAAGCCCCAAATTCAGTGCGTGTCCACCGTGTGCAGGCAGAAGGGCCCTGCACAGCGAGTTGTCCTGCTGCCCAGGCTCACAGTGGAGCTGCAGCCAAGGCTGGGGACTTGGTCACAGGCTCACACATCCTCACCCAAGTGCCAGGGTTTCCAAGGTATTTCTATGATTATCCTTGACCTCAGCCAACCAAACCAAAGACAAGACTCGTTGGCACTCATTGCCAGGGTGAGAAATGGATTATTTTAATGTTTGCTCATGGGATTCCGAAGTCAAGGGAAGCAGGGGCTTCAGGTACAGCTTGATCAGGGTTTCAGCTCACATCATGGGAACCTGTTTCCCTCCAACGTGCTGTCTCTAGCTATCCCCAGAGTCTCTCTGTCTCTAAGCAGCCTGGCTGGTCCTCCTAAAGGTAACGTGGCTGCCAGCCATTCTCTGCTCGCTCCTCATCGAAACAACCCCCGGAGAAAAGACTCCTTTTCCCCCAATCTGACTCTCACTGAAAGAGCCCAGTCCCTACCCCTGAGCCAGCACCATGGCCTGCAGGGTTGAATCTGGGGACTGACCCATCAGCTGGAGGAGCAACCTGTTCACCTCGGGCTGGGCTGGATTCCGAGGGAAAATCGGGTGGTGGCAGAGGGAGGACCTGATGCAGGTCTACAGCCCTAGGTTCAAAGCCCAGCCCTCCTGCCAGCAGAGGGAGCCCTGCTCTCCCAAGGCCGCTTCTCCCTCCGCAGCTGAGTCTAAGCCGACTGCCCGCGGCAAGGGGCTCGATGCCTGTTTGTGGGGGGCACGTGGAGAAGGAGGCCTGCAGATTGTTGCTCCTTCCCCACCTACTTCTCCCAACAAAGACTCGCTTGACGGGAGAATCAGGCCGCATTCCTCTCCCGGCCCGGGCAGGTCCTAGCACAGACAGGCTGCTGGTGGGCGGAACACAACGTGAGGGTTGATGCGCAAGAGGAGGCGGCTCGGACCGGCCTGAGGCCCAGGGAGATCTCGGGCTTGAGTCTGGCCCCGAGCCTGCAGCCTCCGGACCCAGCCTGGGATGAGCCAGACTCTCCCGAGAGCCTCTGGGGCTCCCTGTTTCCTCCCCCTGGGCCTCCAGGCTTGGAGAACTCGGTGGAATCTCTGTTTACCATGCTCCACTCGCAGAGGGTTTGTGCCCAAGGAGGCCTTGGGGCTTGTGGCCTGGGGGCAGAGGTGGCCCGCCCACAGGGAATGGCAGGGGAGGAGCTGGGTTTGGCCCAGGGAGGGAGAGAAAGTGGGTTTTCTTCCACTGCTTTTGAAAGAACAGAGCGGCTCTGCTTCCAGGAAAAGCACAGTCACCCCACCCCCACGCCTGTGCCCTCTGACCCAGCCTGCCCTTTGCACCACGCCAGCCTGGGGGGCCCCACCCGACCGCAGGGACACAATGGTGGGGGCTGAGAGAAGGTCGGAGCCGGAGAGAACCGTCCACTTGTTCCTCAGCGGGCCCGGGACCCCACGAGCGTGAGTGAGCACTGTGGCAGCTCACAGGGCAGGATGGGGACAGCGGGGTGGCAGCCACATCCTGAGCCTTCTGTCCCAGACGCCGGAGAGGCAGGCGGCGAGCTGTCTGCTTGCACCAGGGCTCAGGTCAGCCGCTTCCGCCACGGTCCCCAGAAACCACTTCAGAGGACAGCGCCCTGACCCTGTGTGCAGGGCCCCTCGGTGACTAAGCCTTTACAGGGGACTTCACAGGGCCCTAATGAAGGACCCCGAAGGGCGTCAGAGGAGGGCCTCGTGTGTGCAAACTGGGAAGACGTGAACCCACACCCCGAGGACGAGGCTGTGCCCCAAGCGCTGTCCCCACACAAAGCCTATAATTAGGCCTGTCTGGAAGGTTCTCTGAGTGTCGGTTCCAGCCAGGACATTGCTGCCAAAATGTCCGTCTAGTTCTGCGTGAATGTCAGCAGGGGCAGACTCATGTGGTGTGTGTCTCAAAGGACTTCTGTCTGGGGTGCTCCGCGTGGCCACCTGGCACCGTCAGGCCCGACTCGGAGAGACGGACAGTCCCTCCTCCTGACCGGCTGACTGCAACCCCATCCTGTGTGGTCCCCCTTTAAAGGCCACAGTCACAGCGCCCAGCATGTCCCCAGCCATGCCACCTTCTCCACGGTCGGTTTTAGACTCATTCTGTCCCACCAGGAAGAAGCCCGGTGCCCTCCAGCTGCCCCCCTGCCCCTGCCCACCCCCAACCGAGGACCCCTGAGTCCCCCTTCCGCCTCCAGCTTCTTCCCTTCGGAAAGGGAGGGGCGGGTTCAGAGCCACCTGCTCTGACTACAGTGACTTTCCAAGGTCGGCACTGAGGAAGGTCTCTGGTAGGGGCATCATGAAGGATTTAAAAAGGGAAGATAGAAACTTTAAAAATTCTCTTCTCAAAGGCGTCTCTAAGGAGACCCTTCCTGGCCGAACTGCCGAGTAAAATCCCAGCTCCTCCGCTGGCGCCCGGGGCTCTCCAGGGTGGTCTCGCCGGCTGTGCCCAGAGCTCAGGGCCCTCGGGACAGCACCCCGTCAGCCGGGCTGGTCCCTCACACGCGACGCACTGAGCTCCGTCTGGGCTGCCCCTTCTCTCTGACCTGCTCTGTCCGTCCTCCGCGGGGTCTGGTCTTTTTCTTCCCGCAGTTCTCTCTGGAAGGGGGACAGTCTCCCCCCTCGGCACGCCCAGGAAGGGCTGTGTGATATGTTAGCTGCTCAGCGACCTGCTGACATCGTCTGAGCCTGAATGGCCGCTCTTGGTCCCACACCGCCCTGCACACACTTCAGTGTTTCGTGCCAGCCCCCAGCTTGCACACTCGTGTTCATCTGACTTTCACCTTCATGCCTAAGAGTGGGAACTCCAGGGTCGAGTCAGTGCATGCCCACAGAGCACGTGTTCCATAAAGGCAGAAAGTGACAGTCAACAATGTATCAGCGAGTCACTTACGAAACCCCCTCTTTTCCCAGCATCCTTCACTTTCCTGACCATGACCCTGTTCGTGGGGAACGTCCAATCCAATCACCTCTCCGAAGCCCTGGCCCGGACGCTGTACTCACATTATCCATCAGCCACGCACAGAGGGACCACCCACACTTACCGGTTCTCATTCTGGCTCATGCTGCTCGTCATTCTTCTGAACATTGTCACCGTGGTCATCATCATTTTCTACCAGAAGGCCAGATACAAGCAGAAGCAGGAGCAGAGGAAGCCGGTGGAGTACGCGCCGCGGGACGGGATCTTGTTCTGAACCGTCTCCCGGCTGCTGTCGCTAGGTCCACCCCGCTGGGCGCCAGTCCCGGGGCAGCCACTGGTTCTCCGTCTGGGCGCTCACAGGGTCCAGGGCAGCCCGGTCGCTGTGTCTGTGCGGCCGTTTCGTATCTCAGACACTCCGTCCTGCACCCGTGACGCCCCCCTGAAGGGGCCCTTCCCACGAGGGTTAAGGCGGAAGGAGCGCTCCCCTGCCGTGCGGTGGTCAGAATGGGAGGATGGCTTCAAGCCTACGGACCCTCCCGACCCGTGTCCCTGTCTGCAACAATAAAGGTTTGTGTTACACACCTGTCCTTCGAGTAACTCAGAGCACGTTTGCACCTGTGATCTCGTTCTGCGGGGGAGGGGCCGGGCACTTTCATTCCAGTCTATGAATGAAGACTTCCAAGCACAGAGGGGTTCGGAACCTGTCTTTGCGGGACCATGTGTTGGAGGCAGAAGGCGAGACTTTGGGGCGAATGGCCCGGCCCCCTGGACCCTGACATAAACCCAGTGGTGGGCAGAAGTACTGCTACTCATTTGGGGGGTTCCAAGGTGGGTTTTCATAAAGAAGAGATTAGAAAATGAAAAGATAGAGGAAAGATAAAAACCACTACCCGACAGCCTAAAAGAGGCTAAATATATTTTTTGGTTTCAACGATTGTGGTAAATTCAGTAGAAATAGAAGTGTAACACTGTGACGTTCTAGCCACGCCCCCTCCCCATCAGCCAAGCCCCTGCTGAGTTTCGGTGGCGTGGTCCCGCCCACCGGCAGCCGCCAGCACCACCAGAGGCGGAGGAGGACAGGGTTCAGGGCTTGCAAGTCGTCTGAGTCCGGAAGCCTCTGCTGTCCTCTGCGAGACGGGGTGACAGTGGCAGTGCCGTTCTCAGGTTCATGAGCATGAACCACGCCCAGGTGTGTCTGGAGCTGCTGGCCCTCCGTCACTGTGAGTGTAAAGGTGAGAGGGTGGCCTCGCGCTCGGCCACTGCAGGTCACATTCCTTCTTTACTCTTGTGCACGAGCAACTAACAAACCAGTTAAGGCCGGAAGGTTCATACACCTGCCTGAGCACCCGGCAAGTGGCACAGCCGGGTCCTGGGCTCCTGTTCCTTTTACCAACATCTGACTCTGGTGCACAGATATTTGCTTGTATCGGGCTGATGGCACAGGCTGGGGTGGGGCACAGGGACCCAAGGACGAAAGGTCTCCTACTGCCTGGGCCCCTCTCTCGCAGCTGTGGGTCTCACGGGGCGTCTCATTCACTCAGAGTCAAGGAGCGGCTGGCACGGTCGGGGCACCCAGTCTGTTTCAAACAAGCCTCAGCGGGCTTGGGGCCGACCTGAGCTGGAGAGGGTGGGGCCTCCCGGGACGAGCCTCCCACACACAGCCAGAGGAGGCAGGGGTCCTGTGAGGCTGGAGGAGGCGGGGTCACTGGCCTATTGCAGCTGCGCTCAGGGAGGCACTGAGGTGTGTGGGAGTCTGTGCCACCCCAGTGCCCGAGCAGGACCACGCGGACGCTGCTCCCGCGCCCTCCTGCTGCCGGCTCTCAGGCCACCCAGACTCCGAGAAGTAACGACCGACAGCTTCAGTGAGAATTTCTGACACTGTCCTAGTTGTCAGAGTAGCGTTATTTGAGACAGGCTTCATTCAGACCATGAAAATGTCATTTTCAACAACTTGAACTGTTTCATGAAAAAGAAAGATTTAGCACGGCCAGTATGGCTCCGTGGTTGAGCGTCGACCCTGCACCAAGAGGTCACCGGTTTGATTCCTGGTCAGGGCACATGCCCAGGTCGTGGGCCTGATCCCCAGCGAGGGGCATGCAGGAGGCAGCCCATCGATGTTCTCTCTCATCGATGTTTCTATCTCTCCCTCTCCCTTCTTCACACTCTAAAAATCAATAAACAAACAAACAAAAAAGATTTAGATAGAAATATAGTGTGTGTTGTGACTATTCATTTTGAACAAAACATCTTAAAAATTCTTTTAATTTTTTGTTAATTTATTTTAAAATTCTAATTGGCACGCAATATTACATTAGTTTCAGGAGTACGGCATAGTGACTCAACATGAGCACACCTGACACAGAGGTCACCAGCTGTCACGCACACAGTCATCACCTCGCTGCGGACTCTATCCCCTAGGACTAATTCTGTAACTGGAAGTTCCCAGTCTCATCCCCTTCCCCCTTTCTGCGCCCCCCTCCCCCACACCCCTCCGTGGGCGCCCTTCAATTTGTTCTCTGTGCCTCTGAGTCTTTCTGTTCCATTTTAAACAAACTCCTTTAAAAATAAAGTGCGTCCTGCCTCCCACCTCCAGTCCTCACCGAGGGGCAGATTTTCCCTTTTAACCTTGACCTTCTGGGGCACGCTCTGCACCACTGGTGATCTTGAAGTACAGCCACTTGAGCGCTACGGCGAACTGGTAAGTCACTCCTCGGAGAGGACTCTGTTTTCTCGCTCAGTGCACAGGGATGCTGGGCAGCTCCGAGGGCCTCCCAAGGTCAGTGTGGCCGCGTCGAGGTCCTTGGCTTCAGCAGCTACAGCGACCACACCTAAGTTAGTCTGTGCGTGTGCCCCTGCATGTTCCACAGGGGAGATGGCGCAGAATCCGCAGGGCAAAAGCACGTGTCGGTTTATGATTAACTCCATCTTATGGATGAGTGACTGAGGCTTAGCTTGGCTCAGTGGTGTGTCTCCGTCCTACAGCAAGGGACAGGCTGAGGCGAGATTCCTTGTGTCTCCCAAGAGGCGCGAGGCTGGCCCGCGACCTTACGGGCACCGCCCATATACGTGAAGGGCTGCACCAAGTCTCAGGCTCACACCCCAGCCCTGGACCTTGGACTCCATCCGGCCTTCCCCGGGCGCGTGGCATTTGGGGATAACTGGGTTTGCTGGATTCTTCAAGGGCTTAATTGTGTAATCATTCACCTTTGGATTAAAAGTTTAACCGTTTCACCAGACACGGCACCCTGCTTGATATCACTGGGCTCTGGAGAGAGACAGCCCTTCTGGAAGGCTCCACGCGATTACTGTGGGAAAGAGGTGCACAGTGACAGGCAGGCGGCGCAGGATGTGCGTACCTGGCGAGACAGGTCTCAGCAGTCATGCAGCGAAGAAATCTTTATTGAGCACTTAGACTATTTAAGACACAGGGTGGGAGCTGGGGACCCGGCAATGGACATGATAGACACGGGGCATAGGGGGCAGCTGGACAGACAGACATGAACCGACATGACCAGGAGCTTAGGAGCAGAACTGCTGGGTGCTGTGGGCACCCCAAAGGAGAACCGGAACTAATTGGGAAGGCGTGACAAAGAGGCCGGCCTTGGCCCCACCCCAAACTCTGTGAGCCAGGCAAGGACTGCAAGGGACCCAGAGAGGATCGAGCCCCGCCCCCTTCCCGGTCACACGGCGGAGTAAGGGATGGGCAGGTGTGAGCATCCTGTTTCTGCCTCGTTTGGGAAATAGAATAAATAATAGGGTAAAAGAGAAGTCGATTCTTATTTTTCTTCTCAATTTCAGAGAGTTTTTTTTTTCTAACAAACATTTACATACACACCAATTCTGAACAGGTTCAAGCTCCAAGTATGCGGGACGCATGTAAGTCTCTATAAAAATGTCATTTTTATGAGTGCTTTTATTCCACGAGAGACACACATATATATATGATGAGCCTACACTTTGGGGATGCCGCTTTGCCGTACGGTGGCATAATTGGAACACTCTCGTCAGCGTCTGCCTAACAAAAGTCAACAAAACAGTGATGACAATCAGGTCTATTCGACAGGACGTAAAAAATTCATTTCAGGTTCCAGAATGAGGACCCTTTGAACAAACACTTTTGTTTCCCAGGATCCCCCTTCATCTTCCCTGACCTAAAAGCGCCGCAGAGCCGGTGGCGTGCCGTTGAGGCGGCTCCGGGTCCTCCGTCGGGTGCTGCGCGGCGGTTTGCTGAGCACCCCCAGGCATGTCTCCCCGCTCCTCTGAAGGTTTCCATAGCCGCGCTCTGACCCCAGTTAATTATTGCCAAACCAGCTGATCGGTCTGGGTTTCGGGAGTGCTGACCTCACAGACCTCTGCGACTCCGAGGGCTGGCAGCAATGCCCGCCTCCTGACTAATCAGAGGGTCCGAGTCCAGGGTTCAGACAAGGACCCCCAGGCAGTGGACGCTGGCCTGTTCTATCCAGGAACTCCAGTGGCTGTTGGAAGGCGCCTGTCCCTGGTTCCCAAGGAGTGCCCCTGAAGCACAGCTGTGAGCCAGCCCCAGCCCGCAGGACCCATCTCCATGTTTCTGGGCTCCCCACAGCCTCGTCTTTCCAGGAATCTGGTTCTAAGCTTTATCCAGGTCCCCGAGACTAGAGGGTGTGGGAAACCAGGAAGCTGGGGCTGGCCCCCGGGCCCTGACAGCCTCCCGTCTGGAAGAAGTCCTGCTCACCCGGGTCCTTGCTCTCGCCCGTGGTGCCTACACAGTGCATCCTAGAGCCCTGCAGGGCTGGGGTCCCTGTGACCCAGGGCTAGGAGCCTCGGGGGGTGCCCCCGAGCCAATCCTGAGTGGCAGCCGTCAGTCACTGTGATGGGAAGGCTGGTCACGGCCACAACACCTCAGCCAGGATATGGGGCCCTGGGTTCCGAGAAGCTTCCTGAGCTCCAGTGTGGCAGCCCTAGACCCCAGGCAGCCCCCAGACCCCAGGCAGGACCTATGTTCCAGGCAGTCTCTGGACCCCAGGCAGCCCCCAGACCCCAGGCAGGTCCCGTGGCCCAGGCAGCCCCCAGACCCCAGGCAGGTCCCATGGCCCAGGCAGGCCCCAGACCCCAGGCAGGTCCCGTGGCCCAGGCAGGCCCCAGACCCCAGGCAGGTCCCATGGCCCAGGCAGGCCCCAGATCCCAGGCAGGCCCCAGACTCCAGGCAGGTCCCAGAGCTAATGCTGAGGCAGGTTTTGCAAAGGAGTCAGAACTGACATAGCTCATTTCTGCCTCAGGACCGCAGAGAACCTGTTG